TTTCTACTGAAAAGTGTGATCCTCACTAAAGAGCCATATTAGCCAAGGTAGAAATTATGTGAATTCAGAAAGACAGGGAAATAACAATGTTGAATAACCAAAACAAAAGTGATAAAGGGCCTTTGGCCTCAGGGCCTGATAGCGTCAAGTTACACCATGAGGGATGAAGTTAGGTGGAGAAGGAATTATCAGAAAACCATAGGGAATTTCCCACCTAGGTAGTCCAGTCCTCCGGGCAGGGTCCTTCGGAACCAGTGATGCTCATGCAACCTCTCTGTTAGTGGAGCTCAAGGTGTATTTCATATGTATGTCCTCCGGTGTTCTAATTCCATGGAACTTAGGTTTTAACAAGGTTGGGACGAGTTGATTCTGGCTCCCAGCTACCTGTAGGACAGAGAAAACTTCCCCATGGGGTTTCCAAGGCCATGAGTCTTTATGGAAGCAGAAGCAGACGGACACATTTTCTTTTCTAGAAGGGGCTAGATGGGTCTGAGCCACCAACCTTTCAGTAGCACGAAGATGCTTAACCACTGCACCACCTGCACTCCTAATGGAGACCCAGGCAGGTCAAATAATTGGTGTTGAGAAAGCCCAAACCAAGTCCATTGCTGGTGCACTCATGGCAACTCATGGCAACCTGTCTGCTACAGATGAGAACGATTTCCAATGATTTCCTTGGCTGTTATTTTTATGGAAAAAGATTACAGCATTCTTATTCAATAAAGCTGGGCGAGTTCAAACTACACAGCAGTAGCCAAGTGAAAGTTATTTTCACTTATTGACTGTAACATTAATTCATGACAGAACTTGAATTTGAATCCAGGTCATTTAATCTCATGTTCAGTATGTTCTGTCCATGTTCTGGAATGCAAAGTTTGTAGGACTTAAATGAAGAGAGTTGGTACAACAAGGTCCCATGTCTGCCACTTATTTGCTGAGGGAATTTGGCTAAGTTACTTCTCCAAACTGGATCCAGATTACTCACATATGAAATGGATTGGTTTAAATGAGATAATTATTTGGTTGTAGTTATTCTCAATCCTGAATGTCTATAGCATCATCAGAGATGTTTTTAGAAATACTGATAAATCGGTGCATCCGTTGAGTTTCTGATGCTATAATGCCCTGATTTAATTGGTCTAGTGTGCAGTCTGAGCGCTGGGATTTCTAAATGCTCCCATGAGATTTTGATGTGCATGCATGGTTGAATATGACTGCTTCAGGAGAAATGGTTCCTATCGGATAGTCTACACACCAACACGCTACAAGGAACTTGTCATAAATGCAATCCTCTCCAGACGTATTGAATCAGAAATTCTGCATTTGAGTTTCAGCAATATGCATTTTATTAATACATATACCAGGTGACTGATGTTGCTGAAGTTTAGAAATCACCACATTAGAAGGACTAGGAACTTCTTATTAGGACAGGAGTCAAATAATCTTCATGCTAGAACTAAGCCCATAAGTCAGATGATCTGCTGGGATAAAGGTGAAGAAAGGGAGGTGAGAAAACAGAAAATGTTAAAAGTTTCCAGAGCGAGTTAAAAAGTATACTCAGAACATTGAAAGAAAGCAATTCATTTGAATGTATTCTCTCTAAAGAGGGGGAGTGTACAATTAAATAATGAATAGCTTAAATGCAGTGAACTTCCTGATAAACATGTTTGCTCAGAGGCAAGCAAACAAACAAACTGGTCCTCTAAAAACATTGTATCCTTTATTTCTGCGAAAAAGCGTAAATGATGGTCTGAGATTACTCCTCTCTGGAATGCATGGGTCTCGACTCTGTCATCCTTGGGCTGCTTTTGTTGTTCAGTGCTTTTGAGGGGGGTCTCACGCCCTACGTGCAGCAGAGGCCACACTGCCCGGTCCTGTGCAGTCCTCAAAACTGTACTTCTATTTGAGCCCACTAACGCGGTCTCTGCGTCCGTTCATCTTGCTGAATAGCGTCCTTCTTTTCACTGCTCCTCAACTGTACCAAGCAGGACTGCTTTGTCCACGTACGGTCTCTCCTGACAACGTGTGAAAAGCCAGTTAGGCAAAGTCTTGCCATCCGTGCCTCTAGGAGCATTCTAGCTATACTTCTTTCAATTCAAATTTTGAATATGGATTTGAGTTATAGATGTTGTCTAGTCCGGATGCCTATAGAATATAAAAGACAGGGGTCTTGGAGAGCTTTCATCTGACCCTAGACATGCATTTTAGTAGTTACCCGAGTCCAAGCTTCAGCTCTTTGACAGGCAGTGCCTTGAACGCATAGGCCACTGTAAACACTGCATCTTTCATGAGGGCCTTCTGGGGAAACTTCTGGATACCCTGGTTAACCCTAAGGATAAAGCAGACTCATTCCTTTTGCTTAGTGTTGCTAATTGCTGTTGAGTTCATTCTGACTCTTAGGGATCATATGTGCAACGGAATGAAACAATGTCCAGCCCTGTGCTATTCTCACAGTCTTTCCTGTTGGAGCCCAAGGTTGCAGCCACTGTGACAATCCATCTGTGGGAAACAGAAATATTTCTCCCAAGTCGTCTCCCCCAAATAGATGTCAAACTTAGCTGTTTGCTACAAGGCAAATGACTATACACTTGGAGGTCCACAGGAGTAGGTCAGGGGTTAGTCTCCCTAAGGGTTATCAGCCATCCAGAGCAAGCAGTTACCGCTGTTTATCCTACAACAAGTAGGACACACTCCCGTCTGATAAGGATAATAGTTGACTGTTTCCTTGGAGGAGACCCCAGAGAGGTCAAGCCCACCTAAGGGTGACCAAGGTTAGGCCGCCATCATGAATTTAGGGTCTGCCCATCTTGTCACATGTATACCTCTAGTCCCTCCCCTTCCTATGTGCACACCTCTAGCTAATCCCCTTCTTGTCACGCATATGCCTATTGTACATACCCTTCTTATGATGTGTATGCTTATTGTACTGCCCCTTCCTGTGACATGTGGTTACCTGTCTTCATGCCCCCCCCACCCCCCCACTAAGTAGTTATAAGCCTTGGTTAGCAATAAACATGCCTGTCGGCCCTGCTCTCGCTCTCCCCACCAGGACCAACACCAAGCGGGGCTGAGGTGAGCATGCTACTATGAATTGTGTCTGACTCTATTATTTCAATTTCTCTTCTATCTCTCATGCTCTCTATGACTTTACTATAATCTTTACTTATTATCACCCTACAATTTCACCTACTGGACCCGTGATGATTTGTTGGGAGCCCTATCCCCCACACCATCTAGCTGAGAGTCTTCACGTTTTCCACTGACCTTCTACTTTAACACTGGACTAATAGCCAACACCATGATAAAAATGAAAATGACTGAAGTTGTCAAGGATTTCATTATACTTGGATCAGCATCCATGAAAGCCGCAGTCAAATGGTATATTGCATTGGGAAAATCAGTTGCACAAGACCTCTTTAAAGTGTCCAAGAACAACGACATCACTTTGAGGACTAAAGCGAGCCTGACGTGAGCCATGGTGTTTAAAATAGCCTCATATGCATGTCAAAGTTGGATAATGAATAAGAAAGACCAAAAGAAAATGGATTCATTTTGAGTATGGTGTTGGTGATGGATATTGAGACTACCATGGCCTGCCAGGAGAAAAAAGCCCACAAATCTGTCTTGGAGGAAATACAGCCAGAAAGCTCCACAGAAGAGGAATGTGAAGACTTCATCTCACATATGGTGGATGCGTGATGAAGAGAAACTGGTCCTTGGACAAGGTTGTGGTTCTTGGAAAAGCAGAGCATCAGCCAGAAAGAGTGGATCCTCTGTGAGATGGGTTGAAACAGTGGCTGCGGCAACAGGTGCAAACAGAATTTTGCAAGGATGGCGCAGGACCCCATGGGATTTTCTTCTGTCTGCTGTGTTAGAAGCAACTGGAGGACTCCTAGCAAGGATTGTGAGCTGGTAGGCATCCTAGCCAGCTGAACCGCACCTATCCACAGCAACAATTATTTTAACAAGTATGTTCCCTAGGAACTGGTCCCTCTTGATCACAGGTCTAAAATACATGAGACAAAATCTTACCGCTCCCATTTCTACAGGTAATTCTGGTTGTACTTTTCCTAAGACACATTTGTTTGTTCTTCTACCAGTCCATCATATATTCTTCACCAACATAATTCAAATGCATCAATTCTTCAATCTTCCTTATTCACTGTCTAGCATTCACATGCAGATGAGGTAATTTAAGATACCGTGGTTTGGGGAAGGGATACCTTATTTTTTAAAGTGACATCTTTGTTTTTAAATACTTTAAAGAAATCTTTTGCAGTATATTTGCCTAAGGAATAGAATACATTGTTTTCCTAAGTATTCGTGGATACAAGTGAAATGAGATATCCTTGATAATTTCAAACTTTTCTCCTTTAACATGGTGCTGTTTATTTGTCCAATTGTGAATATTTTGTTCTTTATGTTGGAATGTAATTCAAATTTTATAAGTAAATGCTTTGTTCACTTTCAGCAACCAAGATTGTGTCACGTAATATCACAGGTCATTAATTCATCTTTCTCTAATCCTGATACTTCATTCTTCTTCATAGTCCAGCTTCTCAGATGCTCTGCTGGTACAGATTGGAGAAGTATAGTGAAGAGATACAACTCCAACATACAACTGTTCTGTTTTTAAACCATGCAGTATCTCCATGCTACATTCTAATGCCTGCCTCTTGGTCTATGGATAGCTTCAATGGTCTTGGTCTATGGATAGCTAAGCACAATGAAATGTTCTGGAGTACTCCTTCTTAATGCTACCTATATTTGTTATGATCCACATAGTAGACTAGCTTTCTGTACACAGGACCACGAAGGAAACATCTTTCTGGTATTCCCTACTTGCAGCCAACAGACATTTGACATCAGCAATGGGATCCTTCCCTCTACGTCCTCTTCTGAGTTCTGCTTGAATTTTTGCCAGTTCCCTGCCTATGTACTATTGCAACCATTTATAAAATATTATTTTCTAAATTAATCATTTTCTCTTTTCCACTCAGCCGGGGGCCATTGAAACTGCCATGGAAGATTTGAAAGGCCATATAACAGAAACTTCTGTAGAGACCATACAAGGCTTCTGGCTCTTGACTGAGTAAGTAGTTATAACCATATAAAAAGCTCACTGCCATCAAGTAGATTATGACTCGTGGTGATCTTGTAGGACAGAGCAGATCTGCCCCTTCAGTACCACAAAAGGGCAGTGGAAATACAGTCTTTCAATATAAAATTGAGACCATAGTAGAATAAAAGATATACTTGTGGAACAAATGTTTTCTGAATGTTTGTTGCTAGTTTTCCATCAAATCTATTCCAATTCAGGTCAGAGGAGAACTGTTTTATAGGCTTATCACGGCTGGTAGGGTTCTGAAGCAGATGGCCAGCCTTGTGCCTGAAGTGCCACTGGGAAGATTTGTCATACCAACCTCTGGCTGGTAGTCAAGTGCTTAATTGTTTGTGCCACCTAGAGATCTTCTGGTCATTATATAAAATCATCATGATGTTGACTCAGTTCGGAGTATGGTGTTCTGGTTCCCCATAGTTGATGGTATGCCATATTTCAACCCTGACAACTGGTTTGTGAGGGTTGGTGTCATCATTCAACCATCACAAAAATAACCTTACGCCATGTCCTCATCCTTACGCCTACGCACTGCCTCGGCTGGGTCTAGTCTCTCTCATTTGCTGACACACTCCAGCTACACCAGACTACTTTGCTCTGGTTGCAGGGGAAAGAAAGACTAGAAAAGAGAGTAAGGTTGACATAAACCATTTGAATTTTTGTTTATATGCAATTATATAAGCAGAAAAACCATGTGGTACACAGATGGCAAACCAGTTGTCCACACTCAAAATAACAACATGTGAGTCCTTGTTGTTGTCACTGTCCAATATCAACTTCCATTCACTGCAATAATCCTATGATAGTTTTAAGAAATTTAACTGAAAGTTTTATGATAAAGATGGTATATTTATGTTCTGCAAAGACACATTAGTGCATATGTGGCTCTTTTTATCTGCTTCCTGAGTATTAAAAATTCCATGGCATTTAAAATGGTAAGTAGATAGTTATACAATTAAGGAAAGGGGAGCCACTATCACAATATAAAACCCATAGTGATAAATGGAGCAGACTATTAACATTTCACTTCAGATGCTTACTTAATACTTTCAGGAAGCTTGATAACCTGACCAATAAGGAGTGCAATGAAGAAGTAGCTCAGAGATTCTTATCATCATTCAGTCTCCTATATCCAAGCCACCTTCTTCCACAAAGGTTCAGAAAGGTAATATTTGCATGTTATCTCAGGACACCATTTGCAGGACATCAAGAAACAAAACAACTCCTCTCCCACCAGCAATACATGGAAAGTAGAATTATACCACGAGAAAGGCCGTATGACTAACCACAATGTACAATATTATTCCAAATGGGTTCCAAGAGTTGAATGAGCATGAACTTTTCAAACTTAACTTTTTAATACATTTCTGGATGTTTCCTCTTATAGTAAATGAAAATGATACTAGTACTTGAAAAATTATTATAGAGACTAAATATTACTAAATTTCCTAGCAGTCCCTGGTACATAGCAGACTCTATAAAAATTAAGGGTTTTTTTTTGTTCATAAGCAGTAGAGTAGGGTGTTACTATTTTGAGGAGGGAAAGGGTACCCTCTGACTTTCTTTCTAGCATATTCGTCTCACTTATATCTGGATTGTTTCTAATGGAAGGAATGAGCTTTTAGCTAATTCACTTTTAACATTCCATACTGCAACCCACCACCCCTTTGATTAGGACAGATGTTTTATACAGATTCTAAAGTTAAAATAATAAGTCAACACCTACCTATTTTACTTCTATAATGATCTCAAGTCTTGCGTTGCCATATTGAAGGGTTCTGTGGGCAAACTATTGAATGATGCAGTAAGTATCAAAAGAAGACGGAAGGAATACATAGATTCACTGTGTATTCAAAAATAATTGGCCAACTTTTAACCATTTCAGGAGGTATCAGACAATTGAGAACTGACCTATTGAAGGAAGGAAACCCAAGCTGCATTGAAGGCATTGGCATAAAACAAGCTCTTGGGAATTGATAGAATCCCCATGGAAATGTTTTAACAAGTAGATGCAGCAATGCAGGTGATGGCTTCGCTGTGAAAAGATATTTGGAAGAGAGCTACGTGGTCAATTGACTGGAAGAGATCTGTATTTGTTCTCATTCCAAAGAAAAGTGGCATTCCAAAGAAAAGAGTGCAAAAATCATCTATAAATATCACTAATATCACATGTAAGTTAAATTTTGCTAGGAAGAATTAAACAAAAACAATTTCATTAATAGATCCACAGTAAACTGCTCAAAAATTTAGCTAGACTCAGAAGCGGATGTGAAATAGAGATAGCATTGCTGACAGCAGATGCATGTTGGTTGGAAACAGAGACTATCTGAAAGATACTTATCTGTGTTTTACTGATTGTGCAAAGGCTTTTGATTCTGTAGATCATAAAAAAATTACAGAATATTGAAAGGAGTGGGAATATTTAGTTTTGTTCATGTTGAAACTGTACATAAATCTAGGAACAACTCCAATAGAATAAGGGGGCACTGCATTGTTTAAAATCAGAAAAGATGATGAAGAAAGCTGATGGTGCCAGCTAACAAAAGATATAGTGTCTGGGGTCTTGAAGGTAAACAAGCGGCCATCTAGCTCAGAAGCAACAATGCCCACATGGAAGAAGCACACCAGCCTGTGCGATCATGAGGTGTTGAAGAGATCAGGTATCAGGCATCATCCGAACAAAGAATCTTACCATA